AACATCCAGTAAATAGACACCCAAACAGACAGCTTTAATTACATTAAAGCCTGAAAATCTGTAGACACACATGGACACACACAAGGCTTGACACTGACTGATCGGTTGCAGCATGTCTAATTCAAGAAGACATTTGTATTTTTTTAATGTCCTGGTTATTGCTAGTTGCTTTTCTTACTCTCCTTTATAGCTTAAATAATTGTATATGTTGAATACATTGGACAAGTCTATATGTAGATGTACTCAATATTATATTGATAAGCTTTCCTTGTCAGTAAAGCCTACTATATTTAAAATGCACACCAATTGTAGAGCAGTGTTTCTTAATGGTTCCTGATGATAGTCCAACAGGATTTCCAGGGTTTTTTTTCCATGTCAGGACCAACTTGAGAAACCGCAAGTTGCTTCTGGTGTGAAAGAATTGGCAATCTGCAAGGACGCTGCCCAGGGGATGACCAGATGTTTTACAATCCTGTGGGAGACTTTTCTCATGTCCCTATATGAGAAGTTGGAGCTGACAGATGGGAACTCACCCCACTCCCCGGATTTGAACTGCTGATATTTCGGTCAGCAGTCCTTCTGGCACAAGGGTTTAACCCATTGTCCCATTGGGGGTACAAGCATCACATTTGTGTCCACTGGCTACAACTCTTTTGTTCATTCCTGAAAACATGCCAGTGACCAGAAGCCAATGGCTTCCAAACTGGTACCAGTCCATGGGCACCATTTTAAGAGGCAATAAACACCAGATCCTTGGGAATACAACTGACAGAACTCTTGCCCTGCCCATGCCTGGCTTGAGAATGAGGATTATAGTTCTAAACATCTGAAGGGCACCAGTTTTTTTAGACTATCTGATAGTCTGAGGGATTACAAAAATTGAGCAAGAGGGAACATTAATGCCGTTTAACAAAGTATACATCTTCTATTTCTCCCATTCTCTGGAATTGCCTCCCTTGGCTTCAACTACTTAGCTTCCTTTGCTCATCATTTACACTTCTTCTGTACATTTCTTTCAGCTATAACAATTTTTGTCCAAATTAATCTCATATCTTCTCCACATCCCCTGATCCTTTTATGTGTTATGTGACTTCAAGCCACTTCTGACATATGGTGCCCTTAAGTCAACTCTATCATGGGGTTTTCTTAACAAGGTTTGTTCAAAGGGTGGGGAATGCCTTTATCTTTCCTTCCTCTGAGATTGGGAATGTGATTTGCCCAAGGTCACCCTGTGGGTAGCTGTCTGAATTCTGGTCTCCAGAGTCACAGTCAATGCTAAGACAAGTACACCACAGAATCGTTTTCTGGGTCCTTGTGTTAAAAACTATTAAAGATCCATACAAAGCCATTTAACTCTATAGTTCTCTTGTGTGTGCCTCGCATGCCCACTACACAGCACAGGCTTGATTTGTTTTTGAATCACAATCACGTGACAGCTTTTAAATAATAAAATCAGGCTAATAGTTCAGATTTGATAGCTACACATCAACAACCTAGGAGCTTATTGTGTCACATGTGTGCTTCACAAAAGCAATTCACTTTGTCTACAGAATGCTAGGTTTGGGAATGCATCAGCACTATTTCACAGTCCAGTCAACACTTTGTTGTGTTTCCTTGCTCACCCCACATGGACATGGTTTCAAACAGCTGATTTCCCCCTCATTTCCCATAACATCCGCAAGCACTGAAAGTAGTTGAATGCAACTAGTAGTTGAATGCAACTATGACAAGATTCCATTCTTATAAGGATGTCCAAGTTACATTTTTGTATCTTATCCAGAATTGCCACCAGAATGTGGATCTACAATTCATACTAATTCCCTCTTTCATTCTTCAACCCCTTATTCCAGACAGTGAAGACCTTCCATATTGGCTTTTCAATGAGCAGGCTCAGCGTGAATGCCAAGACACAAACATACATGTGCCTATCAGTTCCACTCATGCATTGGGACATTTAGCTCCAAGCTACAGAGAGAAGATAATCTCTGAAACCATAATAATGATGTATTAACAGAGTTTTGCAGCAGTGTCACTGAAAAGCAGCAATGAACAGAGGAAAAATTACACCCAAGCAAATTGAGCATCCTTCATGTGGAATTCAGATGCCTTTTTTGTGTTAGGAGCAGCTTGAGAAACTACAAGTCACTTCTGGTGTGAGAGAGGATATATATGAAACACATGAATTTTGTGTTTATACTTGGTTTCCATACCCAACATATTACATTATGGATATATATACAAACACAGGTATGCCAAAATGCAAAAAAAACAAAACAAAAAACCAACATAAACAAAATGCAAAACACTTCTGGTCCCAAGAATTTTGAATAAAGAACACTCAACTTATGTTCATGATGAAACCAATGTAATTGTGGCCCAATATCTGTATGAACTGAGCAGTTACTGTAAGCTTCCCTCAGTTAACTATAACTTTCCATCATGTTCTGGTTTGACTGGTTCAAGGAAGTCATGGCCCTGATTCTTCAAGTCCTGAGCAGGTCTGAGTCCCTCTAAGCCAGTCTAAGTCCCTCTACGGAGGTGGAGAAGAATAGGATATAAACGTTTTAAATAAATAAAACAAATAAATGAGCAGGTTTTGTCAGGTTTTACAATGTATTGTAATATAATAAACTGAGTCATGCACTGCTAATGGGCTTCTGTTGGGAATGCTGAGTCATGCATTGATTGTATATAGGGAATCATTTGGGGAATGTATTCTGGCCTACTCTAGGTGATTGTGAATGATGCAATCCTGGGTTTGGGTTGGGTCAATTAGTTGGTAACCAACCAGAGATGTGTAAATGAATTGTATATAAGGAAACCATGTACAGTGTATATTCCTCCTTGTGTCATAATGTTGTTTTGTCGAAGGCTATATGTAATTAAAGAACCTGTCTGCTAGGACAAGATATGGCTGCGTGCTATGGTGAGTCTGTAATATCATCTAGACTGGGGGAAAGACATTGGTAAAACTGACAATGGCTGGGCATGTGCTCAAGTGTTTGTAAAAGGTTCCAAGGTGGCTGCAAGCTGTGGAAGCAGTTGACTGAAAAGAGCTGTGCAGAAAGAAGCTACTGGAAAGCGCTGAAGTTGTGCAACTGATCTGCTGCTGAACTGTGAAGTTAATCTTAACAGGTTTGTTGATAAAAGGGGCAATTGGAGGTCTCTCATTCATAAGGTCGCCATAAGAAAGTCAACCTGATCACAGTTCACAAAAAGTAATAATCATAAAGTTGGAAAGAGCATGATAGACACTTGAATCCAACCTCCCACACTGCAATTCCTTCCAAAGTATCCCCAGCATGTAGCTGTCAAACCTTTTTTTAAATACATCCAGACAGAGATCCCACCAAGATTACAGCTGGACTAGATTTGGGCTTTGTCTTAAACTTGACATGGCAAATTCATTGAGCCTGAAAGCTAGCACAGGCACCTGGGTGGATCTGTGTTTGGAGAGGAAACCCACATCAAACTCTCTTAATACCCTGAATCTCTCCAATACTTTCTAGGTAAAATGCAGGAGATGTAATTTCTCAAATTAAAAAATAAAGCTGTAATCAAGGGATGGTGTCAGTCAACAGTTACTATTGGATTGCAGCTGCTATCATCCTTCATTGCTGACTAATTCTAACCAGGGCTGTTGTGAGTTGGGAGTTCAACAACTTATAGAGACCTATGTTCATCCATCTACACACCAGCCTCTCCAGTGCTCATTGGCTGCATCTTATCTTATGGAATTGTGGTGCTTTGCAGTAGTACTCACTTTCTATTTCACATTAATATGATGAGCTGTCAAGCCTTTTTTTTTAATACCCTCAGACATAAGATTTAGTAGCAATGTATGGGGACTGCTTCTCGATATCTGAAAAAGTTATCTCTCACAACACATTACTTAAACTTAAAAGAAAATGTTCAAGACAACCAAGTCTAAAATCTGACCTCCACTGGCTGAGATTCTGATCACAAGGACACATACTGTTTATGAATGTGCTACTCCTGTGGCTGAAGCCATACTTCATTCATTGCTCCTGTAATATAAAGGCTCACATCTAAGTAGAGCTCATCTTGTTAAACAATGCAGTAAGTATGGAGTTATTTTTGATACAAGTAGCATCATCATTATTTTTTAAAAAAGGAAAGAAACCATTCTAGCTGATGAACAGGGAAATGTACATATGCTTTACCATGTAGTAAGACCTACCGAACTCAATGGGACTTACTGTTAAGTAGATAGATATCACAGATAAAGGTAAAGGTTTCCCCTTGATATTAAGTCTATTCATGTCCGACTCTGGGGGTGGTACTCATCTCCATTTCTAAGCCGAAGAGCTGGCGTTGTCTGTAGACACCTCCAAGATTATGTAGCCAGCATGACTGCATGGAGCGCCATTACTTTCCCGCCAGAGTGGTACCTATTGATCTACTAATATTTGTGTGTTTTCCAACTGCTAGGTTGGCAGAAACTGGGCCTAACAGCAGGAGCTCACCCTACTTCCCTTTTGGTCAGCAAATTCAGCAGCTCAGTGGTTTAACCCGCTGCACCACTCATATAATAGATGTACATTCAATAATTTTAGTCCAAAGAAAGTAGACTCAACTGAATTATAGATTTATATCACAAATATAATTCAGTGTAGATAGTTTGTGAAATGGAAGTCATGAATGCTTGTCAAAAATAGGAATAGGTTGTAAAAAAAAAAAAACCTCTTAAGAGATTACAAAAAATATGTTCCTGGGAATATCCCAAAATACACAAACTGTTTGTGACAAAAAAAAAGTATTTCTTTTAAATTTTTAGCCTAAGTAGTAAATGTTTCATTAAAGCTACCAAGAAGCCAACATCTAGAAAAATAAACGTGCAAGACTTGTTTGCCAGTGATTTTACAAAGATCCATTAATTATAGTTAAATGTGTAAATAAAAGCCAATGCATGTTTACAGTATTTGCTTGCTACATTTTCCTAGGAAAAAAATACATATAAGAGGCAAGCCAGCCACAAATGAGTTTTCAATATATTTTATTAGGTTGTTTTATTTACCGTTGTATTTAAAATTTGGTTTTAATGATAAATTAATATAAAGAAAATAAAAAATTGTTACACGCACATACACACGAGGTAGAACTCTGGCTTTTAAAAAAAATCTCACACATTGGACTATACACAGCTCTTGTCTGGGACCCAAAATTTCTGAATGATGATTGTGGAATTCATACAATCCTTCAACAGCAGAATGGCACCAGAATAACATTCTTTTCTCCTGCTCACAAAGCCAGATTTCTGTTTAACCATGTCCTGAAGAAGGATCCAAAATGAACGCTACTTTATGCCATATCTGAACATTGAAGAAGCAGCATTCACGAACCACGGTTTTGTCACATTAGACTGAGAAGTAAATTCAGAATAGACAACTTGTCCCTGTAAACATCAGAAATGTTTCATTCACCTGTGGCAGGTCTTAATGAGAAAATCTGTTAAGATGTCAATAATGGGATGTGAAAACGATCTTTAGAGGTGCTATTTTTAGGTCTGGAGAAAGGAAGAACATGTCTTTTTTGGGGTGCATTAAGTGTCTATTATTTGGTCACTAGAACTTCTGGAATTTTGTTGAACTTCCTAATGCTGGCACAGATTAATTCAATGAATCCCTATTTAAGTGAATGAGTTACAAGGCTTGCTTCTTAATTCACAATTCTCAATGCAGACCATGAGAACAGAAATGTGGTTAAAGAGACAGAAATTTAGATCTCATTATTTTCAGTGACTGATTCCAGTTAGAACAAGAACACAATAATGACTAATAACACACATCGGGGCATGAAGTTATTCCAGATTTAGTCAGAATTAAAAGGTGGGACTCTGCATGTAATATAATAGAGTATAATAGGCATATGAATGATACAGGTACTGGAAATTTGTAATGCTAAGAGTCTAAGCTTCCAAGGATTCTCATCAAATTGGTGAGAGAGCTAGATTCTCCACCTGCATATGGAGGGACAACAGCCATCTCAATTCAATATGCACCAGTCATATAACCCTCCCTTTTCAAATTATTCACTATCATAGGCAGAGGGGAAGTCACTCTGTTGCGAGAAAGTGTTGTGTCAAAGAGCAAAGTCAAGGGCTGGACCCACCATTTCCACTTGCAAACACACCTATCTGCCAATGTGCTGCTCTTTGAACTGTAAGCACCAAAAAAACCACACTGGAGTGTATGAGGAGGACCAACCGGAAAGCTATTAACACACACACACATCCACACAACCCTTGCTGCAGATTCCAACTGATGAAATTCCTGTCTCAGAGGAAGTTAGCTGGTGCCCTCCAGATGTTTTGGATCAGATCTTTCATAAACCAGTTAGTATGGTTTGAGGATTGTAGTCCCATAACATCCAAAGGACACCAAGTTGTCATTTGCTGCACTACTTTAAAAGGGGCAAATTTAAGAGGTACAGCTGATGGCCAAACCAGGGCAAACCAGAATGGCCACTGGTTCAATCAGCTTGCTCTGCCAATGGCATTGTTAGAAATGGTGGTGTGATGGGAAATTTGGTAAGATTGGTACAGGCCATATGAAAACTTCAGGACCTATGAAGGGCCCCGGATCCAATTTCTGATAGCCCTCATCTATACAAACAATAGCTAGGATCACCCTGAAGAACTTCACTACTTCAGATATATCTGAAATGGTTCAATCGGCATTAAAAACTAAACCAAACAAATTGACAGGTTTGGACAATAAGCCATTGGAATTGAGCAAGTTTTGAAAGTCCCAATTTTCAAAGGGATGCACAAGGCAAATGGAAATAATTCCCAATTTCCTCACTAGGATCCAGTGAATTCTGGATCTGCAAAGGCAAGAGGACTGCCAGTCAAATAATTATCCACATTTAATTAAATGTAATCTGAACAGCTTGTATCTGGAGCTTAGAGACAGTCTAAAATTGAAACAATTACATTGTTAGCATTAAGGATTTCAATGGCTAGATTGTGTGGAGGCCTGGGAAATAATCTCACTGTGTTTTACTAAAACTGGGACTTCAAAAGCTTTTCTTTTATGTTCTTCTTCCACATCTGCTGACCCACATCTCAGCTGGGGACTTGCTGGCTAAGGCAAGCAGCAGCTAACTCAGTGGAAACGTTGCTAACTGGGATATATATTTAGGCACGTAAAATGTTTCTTGAGAAGAGCGCTTCTCTAGAGATTCCTTTTTAAAAACCTGGCTGAGTATTCAACTACAATAAAAAATAAAGCTTCAAACGGTCTATCTCACACACTGCATTACAGGTTACATTTTGTGTCCCATTTCATTTCGACAAGCCTATTATTCCAAACGGATTTCACGAAAGGGTTTGCTTATATTGAAGTATCAGCTGCTTGCGTTTGCTTTTAAAGTGCATCAACTAAGATTGTGCTTCTTAAAACACCAAAGAGTTGTTTGCTTTCCATTTCAGAAATACCAATGCCATTGTAGATGCTTCTGGTCCGATAGACAATCAATGATTCTATAGTGAGTGCAAATAGTACACTGTTAATTTTGGTGGCAGTGAGTCCTTAAGGCGATCCCCTTTCAAAGTGTCATTTGATCATTCAGGTGAGAGACAGACATTACAAAACACATTTTAAACACTGATTAGATGGGAAGGTGAGCAAGGACTTATGATGGTGAAAAAGCAGCGTGAAGTAAAGCAAAATAAATTACAAAATACAGGTACAGTTATAAAGCGATTCTAACAATGTCTCCATTTGTTTTGTATGTTGGCGTCTGCAGTCCCTACAGCCAGGTGACACCTGATTTTCAGGGCATGTAAGGAATGAATTAAACCTCATAGGCCTTGATTACAAACTTGGAACTAAATCCAATTGTTAGTCCCAACTGTATTAGAGCCATTGAATCAATTGAATCATTAGTTGATATTTGTGTAAACTGAATTAATTCAACAAGTCTATTTGGGCTAATCATTTGATTTGGGCCCATGAAAATGAGAAGAGAATTCCACATTAAAAGAAAAACTTTGCGCTCCAACAGTGACATTCATTTTAAAAAAGAATATTTCAGATGTTAGCAAGGGTACTTAGGAAAACACAGGTGTCATCTGTATACAGAATCTATTGTCGAAGGCTTTCATGGTTCTTGTGGGTTTTTTCGGGCTATAGAGCCATGTTCTGTATACAGAATCGTTTTCTGTGGAATGGAATCAAAGAAGTGCAATTTAAAGAAACCCACAAAAGCAGAGAAACATGGAAAACAAGAGATAAGTTGGAAGCAAAACCAAAAAAAAATTGCATTGTGAAAAATATTAAGAGCAAGGGTTGTGTGTGTGTGTTTTTAAAGAAAATGTCCTGCAATATTGGAAATTTAAGCAGCACTATATCAGCCCTGAGAAGCAGGTAGCTGAAGTACTGAGAGGAATCAGAAAAGAGCAGAATACAAAGGAACAACAGGGTCAGTAATCAGCACTGGCTTTGATACTTTTCCGGCAAAGCAAAACCGTCTCTAAGCAACCGTTGAAAAGAACATGGGAAAACCAGGGCGTCTCTGTTAAGAGCAGAATTTTGAAAAATTACACTGCTGTGGATGACTACTCCTAGGATCAGCCAGCCCATGTATCTAGTGGATCTGTTAGAGTGGAGGATTCTGGGTGCTATAGTTCAAAAAGTAACTTTTTCAAGCTCTGAAACAGACACACAAACCACCCTCAATTGCCTGTTTTAGTTAGCCTGGATGGGAAAAACCAGCTCACATGTCATCCCAATCCACTGAAGGTCCATTAAAAGAAACAAAACCCAGCAGATGGGAAAGAAATTACTTCTTTCACTCCAGCAACCCTGGACCTTAAGAAATGTGCAAGATGGTTTCCACTGATTTCAAATGAGGGATGTTTCTCTGTACTGTGTGGTGTGTTGCAGCCACAACAGAGATCAGCTCTTCCTAAATGCGCCTTTGGCGTTATCTGGGGTCGCGGAGGGGGGAAAAAACGGAGGAACACACTTATTCTAGGCACAGTTCAAAAGACACAATCAAAGACCAGGGCAGGACAGCAGCATTACCAGCATCGTTTCAGGCATATTGAAAGGAATGTATTACCACACTGGGCTCCCCCCTCCCTCCCTCCCTCCCGCCCGGCATACAATAAAATAAAAATTGATCCCAAAACGATTCAGTTCTTCCCACGCCACCATGTTTCACAGCTAGCTAGTTCATGACATTGGACAGCACCGTTTTGCCACAGACCTGCTCCGTGGACCTTGAGTGCAGAAGCGCAGGGAGGACCTTCTGCCCAAGCGCGCCCACTGAGGAAGGTTATCCCTTTCACAAAATCATAACAGAAGATTCACCGTTCCCTTTCCCCACCTCCTTTGATGTCCACAGAGTTCCTTTAAGTCCAGGGAATCTGGGAAGGGATGCTTGGGAGACCTATCTAAAAACACACATTTTTTATTTCGGGTGATTACCTGCCTTTTCAATTGATAATATAACCTCCCTTTTCATGGGTACCTGCCCCTTCTCTTCTCCAGAGGCCTTATAATCTGGAATGAGGGTAGGGAAATGAGGTCTCTTGCTCCGTTTCTGCTGGGAGGTAATTCGGAGGACACGAGCGGTTCAGCTTTCCCTTAAGCAAGAGAAACACCAGGCCCATGCTAGCCAGTGTCTTTGAGACTGATAATTTCAAAAGAGATATGCATAATTAGGTATCTTCCCTGGGAAATGGAGGGGGCCATGTTGAGTAGAGGAAAAAGAACTTGGTTGGGAGACAAGGCTCATTCCCACCGTGACCACGTTAACCCTTTGTGCTGTTGATCTGACATCACGATGACAAGAAAAGGAACACAAAATACTATGATGAATTCCAAATGGGTGGGAAGAGGTGCGAGGAGGTTAATCCCGGCGCCTTGGCAGCATGTCTAGGATGTATTCCGCAATGCCGATGAAATAGACCACTTGTGCAATACCAAAGAGCGGGGCAATGACCAGGGCTCTGCAGTAGGCTCCCTTCAAAAAGGCTGCGGGACCTTCTTTCTGCCAGATTTTCCTTTAAAAGTACACAGAGAAAACATATTGTTATTATGAGTCTTTAGCACAATCCTCCCTTTAGTACAATCCTCCCTTTAGCACAAGCCTTGTCCATCAGAACATTTGTGTAGCTTGCTGTCGACCTTTGCAGCCCATAAGACAGTTACATCTGTCAAGTAGGAAATTCAGGTACTGCTTATGTGGGGAGGCTAATTTATGATGCCATAGAAATCTCCAGCAAGCATACAAAGAATGAGGAAGTACTTCATCAGTGTCACAAATGGATGGTGAAGCGACACCTCCCCTGGTGGCCAGAATACCCTCATGAAAAAAACCTGGAATGTTAAATAGCCTCTGTGTCTGTCTATATCTGTTGTGTGTCTATGGCATTGAATGTTTGCCATTATATGTACATTGTAATCCGCCCTAAGTCCCCTGCGGGGTGAGAAGGGTGGAATATAAATACTGTAAATAAATAAATAAATAAATCTGTTTCCTTAGCTATTCTATGCTTCCAATGTACATTTAAGTACAATATTACCTCTATAAAACAAACATACCAATGAGCTGAATAGAGTATGACTAAACTGTAGGGCTAAAATGTGCAGGTGACATAGATTTGCATGTCCTGCCAGCTACCTTTTAGAATTACATGCTTAGTAAGTATATTTATACACAAAACCCTTACACAGCTTACTTCTACTCACACACAGGTGCCTCCTGAAAATATTAACTAGGTTGCAGGAATACATGAGTGAAGGTGCTCTGACTTCCTCCACACAAAATGCAGACTGTTTTTTTTTTTTAAATAAAGATTCGAGACCAGTGGTTCTCAACCTGTGGGTTCCCAGATGTTTTGGCCTTCAACTCCCAGAAATCCTAACAGCTGGTAAACTGGGGTTTCTGGGAGTTATAGGTCAAAAGACCTGGGACCCACAGGTTGAGAACCATTGCTCTAGACAGCTCATGGTTTCTAAAAAAGAGATTTCCAACAAGATGAAAGATTCAATTGGGTTGTTGTAGGTTTTCCAGGCTGTATGGCCATGTTCTAGGTGCATTCTCTCCTGACTTTTCACCTGCATCTATAGAAGACATCCTCAGAGGTTGTGAGGTCTAAGGATGCTATAGATGAAGGTGAAATGTCAGGATGAAATGTCAGGAAATAAGGCTTCTAGAACATAGCTATACAGCCCGGAAAACCTACAACAACCCGGTGATTGCAGCCATGAAAGCCTTTGACAATATAAAGATTCAATTCCCTGCTCATCTCAATGGGTACTCTGTTACACTGTTGTAATCTGCTGCAAATTTCTTTCACATATTCAAAAACCTTGCCTTGCTGCTGCCCACCCTCCTCAAGTGTGTTAGGGTAGGACTGAACGTTCAGCGATGGGTGAACTTCAAGGTTTAGGAGAAAATGTATGCATTGAAGTTGGTAGCATAAGCTTTCATAGACTCCATCCATCTGAAGAAGTGGATATCAGTCTACAAATGCGTTTGCTAACAACTTTGTTCTCTCAGTTAATCTCGAACGTGCTACAAGACTCCTTTGCACAGGAAAGAGTTTGTTTACCTGGCACAGTCTACTATCCCTGAATATGTGTCCTCATTGACGCCCCTCTGCAAGGACTGCAGTCGTGTCTTGATTACTGAGGAAAGAAGAAACAAAGTTGGCTACAGTCTGTGCTTAAACCACATCGCTGCTGAACCTGTTTAGCCTCACTTTGGCAACCTCCATGGTCAAGTCTTTCCTACACAATCTGTTTTATACACACTGGATGTATTCAGACACCATCAAGCTCAAAGCTTCTGCTTATGTGCTGTTTCCTAAAATAATAATAATAAACCTTTATTTGTACCCCGCTACCATCACCTGAAGGACTCGGTGCAGCTTACAAGAGGCCGAGCCCAAATACAATAGTAAAAACAACAGCAACAACAAACAGCAAAATAACTCAGAAAACAAAGCAATAACATTGACAACACACAATGACACAATTAAAAACAATGGCAGGGCCAAATGTAATAATTAAATCAAAAGTGCTGGGCATGACCAGGTGGAGTGTTTGGAGGGGGATGGGCATGCAGATATCCTAGATCTCTGATAAAGTGTGTTGGGACATAATGCTAGGAGTTTCCTACCTTCTCCTTTTTTTTTTTTCTTCAGAGGATAAGCTTAATGCAGTGGAGAGTCAGAATAGTTTGAGCATTGGATTATAACTCTAGAGACCAGGGTCTGAATCTCCACTTAACTATGGAAACACACTAGGTGACCTTGGGCAAATCATACACTCTCTGTCTCAAAGGCAAACTCCCTCTGAAAAAATCTTGTTGAATTAAAAAAATTGTATGTTTCTATGTATGTATATATAATAAAAAATAAAAACATATAATAAAAATAATTTTTAAAATCTTCCCGAAAAAAGTAAGGCTGAGCCATCTCCAAAAAAATTCTTTTCAAAAGTAGGGTAAAGGAAGAAAAGATTAGCAAGAACCTAATTTTATCGAACACAAAACTTGGATGTTATCTTCTAAATTAGCCTCTCCAAGTTCTGTTCCCAAGACAGAAACGCCAGGGATTTCTGCCCCACTCCATCCTAGGTTTTCTTGCCAGCAATTCCAATGGATGAACCACTCCACGCCTGCCATCCAGCACCCTGGACAGGTTTCTCTCCAGTACTTACCATCACAAGGATTAACTGCTACTGCAGCTGTGCTTCCTGCCACACACCCAGCAAGAAAGGACACATAGAAGGGCGCTTTTACATCAGGACTCTTCTGTCCCAGTTTGTTCAGGTTTGCAAACAGTGGAAAATAAACAATGGAAAAAGGTACATCCCTGAAAAAGGAGAAGAATGTAAGAGAGAAGGAAAGATCTTTTTGCATCAGACTATGAACACTATTGACTGGTCCCACTGTCCCAGCTGGCTTTGAAAGCTGACTGTGTGTACAGAGAAAGCTTCAGCTATTCCATAGGTCTTGAAGTCACCAGGAGCTTCATGCTCACCATAGGAACATGTCATTTAACACTATGAAATTCCAGTGCATGGCATCAGCAACCCTTTGACACCCTTAATGAATGAATGCCTAAATAAAGTTAACATTCATTCCTCATAACCCTTGTTTCCCATTTTCCTGTGCTTTCTCTCCTCTGGATGGATCCCACACTTCTAATTCATATGGTATATCAATCTTCTTCAGGAGCCCCCAGTGGTGCAGTGGGTTAAACCCTTGTGCCGGCAGGACTGAAGACCGACAGGTCGCAGGTTCAAATCCGGGGAGAGGTGGATGAGCTCCCTCTATCAACTCCAGCTCCTCATGCGGGGGGACATGAGAGAAGCCTCCCACATGGATGATAAAAACATCAAATCATCCTGGCGTCCCCTGGGCAATGTCCTTGCAGACGACCAATTCTCTCAAACCAGAAGTGACTTGTAGTTTCTCAAGTCGCTCCTGACACGATCAAAAAAAATAAAATAATCAATCTTCTTTGGGAAAATCTGTCTCTCTCTCTCTCTCTGCTTGTGTTACTTTTTAAGCTACTCTTTCTGTCAATGGCAGTATAGTATAATAAGAATCTGAATCAGACTGCTATACTAATTTATTTAACGAGAATGTGGAAGGAATCAAAGTTAAAAAGGTAAATGTAGTTATGTCTCATGTCCATCTCTGGGGAGTGGTGCTGACATTGTCCATAGACACCCCTAAAGTCATGGTCGGCATGACTGCATGAAGCACCGTTACCTTCCCGCTGAAGAAGTACCTATTGATCTACTCACATTTGCATGTTTTCAAACTGCTAGATTGGCAAAAGCTAGGGCTATCAGCGGGAGCTCACACCGCTCCCCGGACCTTTCAGTCAGCAAGTTTAGTAGCTCAGCGCTGTGCCACCGGGGGCTCGGAATCTAGTTTTTTTGTCCATGTGGGCATCTATGTGTGTGTGTACATAAAATACAAATGAAGCACATGGTTTTTTGTTATGCTATATTTGGACTTTAAATTACCATCTCCCACAGGCTCAGATGGTGGTTTGGGCTGCTGGGACCACTAACAAACTGGGGGGGGGGGTATCAAACTCATAACTCTGTCCTAAAAGAATGCCCCACCTTAGCAACGTAGCTCCAAGTCCCTTATAAAGTCCAGCAATGCCTTTGCTCCGGAGCAGGTCCCTTGTGATTTGCATTGCTGTGGTTCGCGTCTCCATGACCGACTCTGCTGCAGCAGCACCACTTGAGGGGTTTAGCTGGGCCTGTGCTGCCATAAGTTTCTTCTGTGCAGCTGCAAAGGAAGCGAGAGAGCTTTGTCATTTAAAATCCCACCTCACTATCCTGATGCCACAACACAAATGCAACAGGCGTCTCATATTTATAACTTTTAGCCAAAGTTGTTTATTTTGTTTTAATTGTGTTTGTAAATGATTATATTTTTATGATATTGAATGCCTGCCTTGTTTGTGTTAGATTTGGAAGCTGCCCTGAGTCCCTTCGAGGAAAGAGGCGTGGGCTAGAAATAAATAAATAAATAAATAAATAAATAAATAAATAATTAAACACAATGTCTTGTTTCTAACATCAGGATAGCCCAGAAAGACAAAGAACAGGCTTAGAGCCAATAATATTTCTCTCCCATCAGTGCTTAGCCACCAAAAGTTGTCTTGTGTGCTGCAATTCAGAAGTGTTTCTATTCAAAATAATTAGGAGGTCAATCCTGAACAACTCACAAACCTGATTAACAAACATGGCACTCGGCTTCTGTAATGTATGCTAAAGATAATCTACCATCAATGCCATAAAAATGCCAGCTGCTTGCCACACATGAGCAGGAACCAGGTGAGATGCAACTGTGTCAGACCATCTGTGAAATATTGGAGGGTCTGCACTTCTTTCCCTCCTGTTCTCATTGTCCCTCCATTCATTCCAGACCGAATAGTGACACAGCTGGCACTGTCACTACTTTATGCCTGTCATTTGAAAACAGTGCTACCCTTTGAAATAACTGACGCCTACTATATTTACTGGATGTTTTTAAGAGTACATTGCTCCAAGAACGGTTTGAAACACTGGACCCTCTCTAAATGTATTTTTGAGATTGACTGTTCTCTCATGGCTCCTGCCAGCTACTTCGCTCTGCAATGTTCCTGTTTCATCAGAAGATGGCACTCATGTCAATTCCTGGTCAAGCCAAGACTACTGCCAGCAAGAGCATACATAGCCTCTGTTGCAATGAAGATAATATAATCCAGTTTTGTGTTGCAATGAGAAACGTTTTACAGCTTTCCTCATTTTATTTGGTTTAGTTAAGTTGGAAATAGGAGAGAGAGAGAGAAAGTGGCAAACAAATGAACAAGGAAATATTAGAAGCCTGAAAGATAAGCTGCTGTTTGTTTATTTCATCCTACTGGTCTCAACAGCACTTATATTGGAGCTTCAGGATATAAACAGTGTGGTCAACTCAATTCAACAAAAGGTTTAGGCTGTGGCCACAGCACCAGCACTTTCTCATTGAACTTTTCTGGGCTCTGCACTTCCATACACTGCTTTGAGTCCCCCCAGGGGTGAGAAAAGTGGTATATAAATGCAGTAAACAAACAAATAATTAAATCCTCCCATTTCATTAAAATGAACGGCTAAATTATCAGGTGGCAGCACAGTGTTAGCCATGCTCCTCATACACCTTTCAACCTATGTGGCCCACTTCTATTTCATAGAAACAAAGGTGGGGTGTCAGTCAACTTAAAACTGTTTCCCTTCCAAAAAATGCCAGAAAGTGGAGGCGTGGGAAACATAACAAAAACAAGTGCAGTTATTTATAAAAGAAAAACTTCACTCATCAATGTTTAAAGTTTTGGTGTGTTACCAGACTTAGGCCCCTTCTACACTGACATATAATCCAGATTATCGAAGGGTATTGCCTTTTCTCACCCCAGGAGGGGGACTCAAAGTGGTTTCCAACGTATTTATGGCAAAATTTGATGCCTTACACATATATGAAATCTAACATAAAACAATAACATATAATATCAATTGGATCAAAAAAATGTAACAACATTTGGACATTAAAATGTGGAGTTAAAAACATTTTTACTAGAAACATTAAAATCACATAATCCAAAAATCATAGTCCAGGCCATTCCAAATATCAAATATTAATCATCCACATTTGTGTTTTGAACTGGATTATATGAGTCTACACTGCCATATAATCCAGTTCAAAGCAGATAATTTGGATTTTATATGGCAGTGCAGAAGGGGTCTTAATGGTTGGAGACAGGATGGCACAGAAGAAGAAAAACAATATGACACGTAAGGGGTAAATAATCCTTTCCTTGTATTAGTGGTTCAGGGTTGCCTGTTCTAGGCAGCGTGCTGGTCTTTGTAAATTGTTATTTAAAAACAATCCGAAGGTGGCTGAACTATTGCTGTCCAACCAATCCTTCATTTTGAGTCCTTTCCTATTATCTAGGTCAGGGGTCCGCAAACCTTTTAAACAGAAGGCCAGGTCACAGTTCCTCAAACTGTTGGAGGGCCGGATTATAATTTGAAAAAAAATATGAATGAATTCCTATGCATACCACATATCTTATTTGTAGTGCAAAAATCACTTAAAAACAATACAATAATTAAAATGAAGAACAATTTAACAAATATAAAGTTATTAGTATTTCAATGGAAAGTGTGGGCCTGCTTTTGGCTGATGAGATAGGATTGTTGTTGTTGTTGTTGTTGTTGTTGTGTGCTTTCAAGTCATTTCAGACTTAGGTTGACCCTGAGCGAGGGCCGGGTAAATGACCTTGGAGGGCCGCATCCAGGCCCTGGGCCTTAGTTTGAGGACCCCTGATCTAGGTAGTCATCTGAAAGGTATTGCTTCTTGCTGCATGACTTCTAGAAGGACAGAAAAAACAAAAAGCGACAAGGTACCGATTCGTCCTGCATCCTGCAGCTGGATCTTGAGCATCTCCATGGGAGTGGTGACAATCACTTGGCAGGTCCCTGCTCCACAGCCAGCCAGCATTTCCTTCAACAGGGTCAGCTTCTTCCTGACATAAAGACAGAAAAGAAAGAGAGAAAGAGACACAAAGAAAATCAGGTGAATGATTCAGTGGTTTCCAGGCAAGGCAGATACCTGGTTTGCTTCTTTCCATAGTATGTTTATGCACCTAGCAAGTCTTATGCACAGATCTAACATATTGTGGAAAATAAGGTTGGTTTAATATTCTCTAACCTGATATTTTCAGTAATGAATGCAATGTAATACAGATGCAGCTGAGTGATTAAAACTATCCTAAGCAGCAGAGACAATAACAAGAAAAACGAAAGTGCTGGCTATCTAGATGAGCAGTGGCCTATTGTTAAATTGAAAAAGACTATTTCATCACACTAGAGAATGAATCCACTTTAAATCCACGTTCTGCCTCTTGCAGAATTCTGGGGTTTGTAGTTTAGTGAGGCTGTTCAAGGCTCCTCCCTAAACTACAAACGCCAGAATTCTGCAGGAGGCAGAAACCGGATTTCAAGTGGATTCATTCTCTAGTGTGATGAGGTCCCTAGTATAAAAAGTCTCACTTGAAGAAATCAGGGAAATGTGGAAGGAAGCTCCACTCTTGCTCTACTATCATCTAATGAGCATCTCACCTGTTCCTCCATTATGTTCCAAAAAGAGCTGCCTGCAAAGTCAAATACTAAGCAAAAAATACCAACAGAGTTAGAATACAGTCTAGCAACCATTACAGAAGGCTCCTTTTTCAAGCCCCGAAGGCACGGAGTAACCTCAGGGCATAGGCTCATCTTGGGAAGGAAAAATACACCAAATCATTATTTCACTTCTCCAGTAGCAAAAATGTAGTGCAAATCACACAGGCCTCAAACAAGTGAAAATATGTCAGAGAAGTCATCACACATATTTAGGGCAATAAAACTTAAAATGGATATTAAAAGGTTCACAATGGGCAAGTTGAGGCTAGAATAAAATACAAACCAAAGTACATCCATTTTATATGGTGGAAAATTAAGAAATTGTTCTAGATGGGCTTCATCTTTGCAGCTCATGACAACAGATGTTACCAGCTAAGAATAACATCCCTTCCTTTGTGTTGGCAGAGATATAGTAATTTCAAATCGAGTCCATCTTTTTGAAACACCCTGTACTAAGGTAGAGAAAATGAGCATACTGCCAAGCATGGTATTCAGCCCCCAGTGGTGCAGCTGGTGGCACAGTGAGTTAAACCCTTGTGCTGGCAGGACTGAAGACTGACAGGTTGCAGGTTCGAATCCGGGGAGAGCGTGGATGAGCTCCCTCTATCAGCTCCAGCTCCCCATGCAGAGGCATGATAGAAGCCTCCCAGAAGGATGGTAAAACATCAAAACATCCGGGCATCCCCTGGGCAATGTCCTTGCAGACAGCCAATTCTCTCACACCAGAAGCGACTTGCAGTTTCTCAAGTAGCTTCTGACACAAAAAAGGTGCATATTAATACCACCCATAAGGATACTTCCAAATGTAGCATTCCTCTAGCAATGAAAGTGCTTTCATGAGCAATAGAGACATTACATCAGCCCCATGGATACCTGTCTGCCTGCCACAAGGAGTGCCTTGACTAATGTGCTGACCACCTCAGACTAAGTGCAGTAAAAGTATGAGCACACTTGGTCCATAAAAAGTTTGATAACTGTTCAACAACTACTATATGGGAAGGCTCTTTAAGAAATGTTACATTCCTAGTTTCCAACAGACCTCACAACCTCTGAGGATGCCTGCCATAGATGCAGGTGAGATGTCAGGAGAGAATGCTTCTGGAACATGGCCATACAGCCTGGAAAACTCACAGCAACTCAGTGATTCCGCCCATAAAAGCCTTCGACAATACAATGTTACATTCTGTATCTTGTGTTATTTCTACATTAATGCTGAGAAGCTGCTCTCTAGAATGAGGACTAAGGTACAAATCCCAAGGCCTGCAACATTTTGAATCAGCATGTTATCCTCCAGTGCATTTCATCCCCAAACTTTGCAAACGGTGGATAGGGGGGCGGAATTGCTTTAGGAACACAAAAGGACAAAAGAACAAGGAAGGACAAGAGTAGGTAAGTTTGGTTTAAATCATAAGGAGAGGGAGTGATCGCCTCTGTAAATGTCAAAAATCCTCCCAGTAAAATTTGGTTTTGCTGTCACTAGTGTCAAATGATGCAAAAACTCAGAAGATCCAGAGCTCTTGAAGATCTGGGCTACTGGATAACAACTTGCATCAGCAGCTGGAGCTGTCATTTCTTCACACATTTGAAACTCACAAGCTGCGAGCTGTCAGTATCTTCACCTCTGTGGAAAGAGCCAAGTAGCATAAGGTTCAGCTCTTGCCTAAAGGAGCTGCGTTGTTTAATGCTTCCTCAATTGTATTCTTCAGTTCTCTAAAGATACGGCACAACTCACAAAGAAACCTACATGCAGCTGATTTGTAAGTTTGCACAACTGCTACTTAGATAATAATAATAATAATAATAATAATAATAATAATAATAATAATAGTTTATTTTTAACCCACCCTCTCTCCCCAAAGGGACTCAGGGTAGCTTCCAAGATTGCCTTGTTATAGGTATAAGGCAAGGCCACAGTGAAGATTATTAAATGACTCAATACAGATTTCTTCTTTGAGAACACAGGGAGGAATTTTCACTGTATTTAGTCACATAGATTTGAAAAAAGATCAGCGAGCTAGCAACATCCTTCTCAAGAAATCCTTGCCTGCAGCTGGCAAATTAAATGGAATCTGGACGATCTGAGGAGCTTACAGAAAATCTGAACATCTGCAGGAAGCAAGGATACAAACCATATAAAGAGTCCAAGAAACTCTTTTGAAACAACCCACATCTTCTTAAAATCTTTTTTGTTTATGTGTTGTCTTTTTTGTTTGTTTCTAGTATTTGTTTATGAACTTTGAGATGAGGACATTAGAGTCACCTTTTCAAACTTTTCTCTAAATCATACAAGATGGGATCTTATATTCTAAACTAGCTGTCCCCTGCTACGCGTTGCTGTGGCCCAGTCTGTTGATCTGGAAAATAAAATAATGAGAAAGTGCTGGTTTCTAATATATGTAATTTCTTTATTTTTGTGGGTAAACAGTATTTCTTGCTGTTTCTTTGTCAGTGTTGATGTGGAGAGTGTCTGGTTTGCCTACTCTGGAACATGCAACATATAATTGTCCTTATTCAGGGGTCCCTTTCAAATCTATGATACTATATCTGTGTGTGTGTGTGTGTGTGTGTGTGTGAATCATATCACCCCCGGTGGCGCAGTGGGTTAAAGCCCTGTGCCAGCAGGACTGAAGACCAACAGGTCGCAGGTTCGAATCCGGGGAGAGGCGGATGAGCTCCCTCTATCAGCTCCAGCTCCTCATGCGGGGACATGAGAGAAGCCTCCCACAAGGAAGATAAAAACATCAAATCATCCAGGCGTCCCCTGGGCAACGTCCTTGCAGACGGCCAATTATCTCACACCAGGAGACACTAAAAATAATAATATCTATATCTATGGCTGGATGGCTCTTTGTCAGGAGGGCTTTGATTACGTTTTCTTGCCCTGGTGAAGGGAGTTGGACCGGATGGCCTTAAATATTTTCTGTTGGTCATGGGGGTTCTGTGTGGGAAGTTTGTCCCAATTCTGTTGTTGGTGGGGTTCAGTACGCTCTTTGATTGTAGGTGAACTGTGAATCCCAGTGACTACAACTCCCTAATGTCAAGGTCTATTTCCCCCAAACTCCATCTGTGTTCATATTTGGGCATATTGAGTTCTTGTGGCAAGTTTGGTCCAGATCCATCATTGTTTGAGTCCACGGTGCTCTCTGGATCTAGGTGAACTACAACTCCCAAACTCAAGGTCAATGCTCACCAAACCCTTCTAGTGTTTCTGTTGGTCATAGGAGTCCTGTATACCCCGGTTGGTTCAATTCTATCATACTATTTGATGGTAGGTGAACTATAAATCCCAGCAACTACAACTCCCTATCTATCTATCTCTATGGCTGGATGGCTCTTTGTCAGGAAGACGTTAATTATGTTTTCTTACCCTGATGAAGGGAGTTGGATTGGATGGCCTTAAATATTTTCTGTTGGTCATGGGGGTTCTGTGTGGGAAGTTTGCCCCAATTCTGTCATTCTTGGGGTTCAGAATGCTCTTTGATTGTAGGTGAATTGTGAATCACAGTGACTACAACTCCCTAATGTCAAGGTCTATTTCCCCCAAACTCCATCTGTGTTCATATTTGGGCATATTGAGTGCTTGTGCCAAGTTTGGTCCAGATCCATCATTGTTTGAGTCCACAGTGCTCTCTGGATGTAGGTGAACTACAACTCCCAAACTCAAGGTCAATGCCCACCAAATCCTTCCAGTATTTTCTGTTGGTCATGGCAGTTCTGTGTGTCAAGTTTGGTTCAATTCCATTGTTGATGGAGTTCAGAATGTTCTTTGATTGTAGGTGAACTATAAATCCCAGCAACTACAATTCCCAAATAACAAAATCATAATTTTTTGAGTGATGGTCACTCCTTGTGTTGTGAGACGTTTTGTTGCCAAATTTGGTGTGATTTCATTAATTGGTTCTTTTGTTTTTAAGGTACTCATTATGCACAGAGCATATATATATATATATATATATATATATATATATATATATATACACACACACACACACACACACACACACACACACACACACACACATATTAGAGATGACAGGAGGTAGAATATGGTCTACAAGTGGACCACTGGCCCAGAAGTGGACAACAAAGTCCCTGCAGATTTCAGTTGTGAGTGCTGAAAAAATAGGAAAATCTGGACACAACTGAACAAGCCACTTATTATATTAAGGAAGAGCATACACTCAGGATTGTATTAGATATAGTTATGAAGTACTATGCTCTATTATACAGTAAATTGAACATTTGTTGGTCATTAAAGAGATGCATCCCGTGAAAGTCACCCACTTAAATAATAAACACAAATATTGTACAAGCATTTCAGGCCACACAAACGGGCAAAACTTGC